ACCAGAAATAGATTTTTGACAAAACAAAATTTTACTAGGAAAAAAAGTTGTCGGCATTAAATAACCCATTGAGTTTGATATGCCGTAAACCAAACCAAACCAAACCAAACCAAACCTTTCTTCTATGCAAATTTTGATTCTTTACCATCCCCCTTTTTTTTCTCGGAGGTCGGTCCGTCGGAAGTTTTCCTCTGTCTCTTGCCTTCAACATATCCTGGGTGTGTTAAATTCTCCTAGCCTTCTTTCTTCATTATGTGTCCCTAATTTTTCCACTGTCTCGTTTTGATTTTAAGTATAAGGTTCCTTTTAGTTCCCGTCTCCTTGAGAACTTCCTCATTAATTACATGTTCGGTATGCGTCATTCTCATCATTCTCTCTTAGAACTAATTTTTAGGGTGCTTCTAGTCGCTTCTTCATCCGTGAGGAGATTGTCCAGTATCCACTGCCATATAGGAGATTAGATATTACATAGCCTTTCAGTATACTGTGTTTCAAATAATATTTTTTCTATCTCTTAATACTTAGCTTAGTTTCATGAAGGCCGCTTTCGTTGTTCCGAAATAGTGTTCTCGGATTTCTGTGTTATTTTCTGCCGTTTGTTGCTAAAGTACCAGAGAGTTAAATTTCTGTGCTTTTGATTCTGTGTTTGATTTTTAACATCCCCAGTGTGTAGCTCAGACCTTTGGCTACCTCTTTTGATGATGACCAGTCTTCTTACACTTAACTGTTAGTCCTTTCTTCTTGCTTTCCTTGACTATTTTGTCTTAGAGCTCTTTCTACAGAAATACTAAAACACTACCAGAGAGTTAAATTTAAGTTAGTCATGTGCCATGCGTAATACACTCTTAGTATCTTTCGGTACATGACTGACGAGGCAGATTTTTTTTCCCGCAGTAGGTACACATTTCTTTCTGCATTAGACCAGTTGCGATCCAAGGCTATAGAACCCGGTCTGTTCTGATATTTACCCATAGCTGAGGGGAGAAGAAGAGGATTCATACCTTTCCCAAGGGTATTAGCACATAAGTGAATGCAATGGATTTGACTGGAATTCGAACTCGGCTCTCCGATTCCCCAATCCGAGCCGCTATCCTTTACTCCGTTTGATTCTAACGTCTCCGGTATGTAGATAAAACCTTTGGATAAAACCTCTTTTACTGAAGATTATACATTCAGTTTTATCGTACTTAACAATTAGTCCTTTCTTCTTTCTTTCCCTGATAGCTTTGTTTAAGAGCACTTTCGCTTCCGAGGTTTCCGTCGTCTCTATAAAGAAAACACCTACCAGATATTTTTTGATGTTACCAATTTGAAGCTAACACACAGGACTCTCTCTCTCTCTCTCTCTCTCTTGTTGACGAATATACATTTTGTCTTTTCCCTTTTTACAATTGATAGTTCATAATAAATATTATATATCTAAATAAATAAATGACAAATTCCGTGCGTCCATCTGTATGTCTGAGACCCATTAACTCGGGCCGCACTTGCTCTACAGAGACATATTAGAACTTTTTAAAATCAGGTCGAGATTGAAAATCTGCTATTCATCTGGTGCTTGAAAACCAGCATTGGGATTTGTGTCCAGTAATCTTTTCTTTGTTACGAACAGTTTTTTTTCTGTGTCTTAATACTTTGCTTAGCTTTTGGAAGGCATCTTTCGCTAGCCTAATGCGTCCTCGGATTTCGGTGTTGCATTTCCCGTCCTCTGTTAAAACACATCCTCGATATTTAAATTTTTGTACTTGTTTTATTTTGGCATCTCCAATTTTGTAATACGCATGCTTGGTTGTCCGTTTTGCTGACAATAGTCAAAAATTTTAAAAAAATTAGTGATTTTAAAAGTTTTTAAATTTATATTGAGGATAAAGTAACGCAAAATGTTTGTGAATTTAACAATTTTTTGTTTTAAATTCAGTTTAAAATATCTCCAAAACTTTGTGAATTGAGGAAATCAGTTTTATTTCTTGAAAATGCCAAGGAATCAGAATTAAAGTGAGACGTTTGGTGATGTCACGTTTTGAAGTTCCGTGGAGATTGTGATTTGAAGAACTCAACACAACTGAACTACCACAGAGCTTATGATTTGAAGAACTCAATTTTCGTTTTGAATTGGAATTGCGACCCAAATCGGTCTTTTGGAAATTGGACTTATAGTCCGAATCAGAATTAAAGTGAGGTTTTGAAGTTCCATGGATTGAATTGAAGAATTCAAAGTTATTTCTTCAAAATTATCCTTGCTATTTTCTAAGTGAGACCAGAAGCTCCTTTAGTTGCGGGCTGGGGTCACAATGAGTCCTCCACAGGAGTTAGCTTAAAAATCCTAAAGGAGTGCGTCTTGTAAGCTAGTTTCTGCATAAAAATCACACATGGATACATTTCTCTTAAAAGATTCCATGCCATGTATGATATGTAAATAGGATTTATATATTACTTCCAAAATTATTTTTAGTGGCTACCCTTATTAGATTAAAGCAGAACGAATAAATGCATCCATTCTGCTCAAATACGGGCAACCACTGAAAAGAACGTTTGAAGCTATAAAAAATATATCGGATTAAAAATAAAATCCATTAATTTTATATATATATATATATATATATATATATATATATATATATATATATATATATATATGTGTGTGTGTGTGTATGTGTTTAGGCAACAATCCTTCTTTCATGCACGTTTC